TTTTCCCCGGGCACCGCAAGCCGATAGCAGCAGTGGGATAAGAACCCAGCTTTCCCGAATCCCACAGATGGCCCCTGCTTCCCCTCCTCTCAGAAAGTACCTCCCCATCCCCGCTGCCCCCCACCAAAGCACCCAATCTGCTACTCCCTTATTAATGGGCACGTCAAATGTCCTGGCCAGGAGAGGCATTACTCATTTGGCTTATGGAAAGGTTCTAATGCTCATGGGAGATAAAACTTCGTGAAGGTTCAGACACTTGTAGAGGAAAAAAAAATCCAAGACGAGGCATTCACATGCTTTAACAAACAAACAAAAAAACGGAAAAAAAAAAAAAAAGAATGGCAAAGAGAAACCTTCATTCATTCACGAATATGATATGCTAAAAAGACATTTCAGTTCTATACGGTGACAAGCCAGGGGACCTGCCTAAGGGGTCTGCCACCTGCATTTTTCCTTTTTGTCATTTCTTAGACCTTTTCCCAGACACACTCTGTGTTTTTCCTTCTCCAAAACATTGATAATATACATAGAATTGTTTCCTTTCTGTTTCTTTCTGTCTCTCCCCCAATTACACCTCCTGTCTTCTTCGTCGGCGTCCCCAGCTTTAAATGCCCCCCGCCCAGCTCATCCCGGTGAAAAGTGGACGGAAGCACATTCTATTTCATTCATCCTACATCGTTCAGTAGCCTCTGTGCCCAGATCCCCCACGCCGGGGTGACCAAAGGGAAGGTAGCGCTTTCCCTGACTCCCGGTAAAACGCTGTGGGTCACAGACCTGGGCAGTTCTTCCTGCTGGACACGGCTGAGCAGGGAGGTCTTTTGCCCAGATCTGTGTCACCCCAGAATTGACATCTCAGTGCCATAGTTCCACCTGCTCCCTCCCATCACCATGAAACCCAGACCCCAGGAAGAGCAAGGAGACCTCCGGGACCGCTGAGCCCCACAGTCTGTCCCGCGTGGGGAGAAGAGGGGTGCTCCATCCATTAACGCCCTGATCTTACAGCACCCCCAGTGAGCCTTAGCCAGTGGCTCCAGCACCCCCATTCCATGTCCCCAGGCTGTCCACTGCAACATTTTCTTCACCAAGTGGTGCCGTAGCTTAAAATCTGTGGGACCAGAGGCGCCTGGGTGTCTCAGTCAGTTAAGCGTCTGACTCTTGATTTTGGCTTAGGTCATGATCCCAGGGTCGTGGGGTTGAGCCCCGAGTCAGGCTCTGCGCTGAATGTGGAGTTTTGGGGATTCTCTCTCCTCTCTCTCTCTCTCTTTCTCTGCCCCTCCCCCCTCTCAAAATAAATAAACATTTTTTTTTTTTTTTAATCTGTAGAACCAGACTCCAGCCCAGCCCTTTCCCAGCTGGGGGACACCTGCCAAATGCCTTTGCCTCTCCGGGCCTCAGTTTCCTCACCTGTAACATGGGCCTGATGCTAGTCCCACCTCCAGCAGAGGTGGTTGTGGGGATTAGAGCCTGGTGACCCAGGGAAGCAGGACCGTCCTCTGCTCCTGGGGGCCTGAGCACGCCCCGGGCAAGGTGGCCATCGCCCCTGGGAGAAGGATGCTGAAGTGATTAGCTGGCAGAGGCACGCGGTGCAGACGGGGTTATGCAACCGGCTGCCTATTCCGGGCAGATGATGCACGTCCCCAAGAGGGAAGGGGGAAGGGGCCTGACTTCAAAGTTTTCTGCCCCTTTTGAGTTCTCCTTGGAGATCGATGTGCGGTGGCCTTGCAGGCTGAGCTCGGAAGGAAGGCTCCACAGCAGACAGGGTCGACAGAGGGAGCCAAACAGGACAGAACGCCTGCAGCCCCTCCATCCAGACGAGGGGCTCCCGGCCGCGGGCGGGAGGCTGACGTCCCCACGAGGTTCACCATGGTCTCAGCTGCTGTGTTCTTTAGTGTGACCTCTTCACACGGTGGCCGAGGGATCTAGGTTCTCTTTGAAATAGAAATTCACCTGAGCCTGCTTTGTGCTAGGGATAGCTCTCTCTTGTTAGGAAAATCTGGACATATTTTTTGAGGGGCCACCATTCGACCCACTGCCGTCCGCCCTCTGACGCCCCCCCGCCCAAATGTGTGTCCATTTCACGGGCGGCATATACTCACCTCCCCATCCCAGCGTCCCCAGAAGTCTAAACCTGTCCGTCACCGCACCAGCTCGGAGATCCTAAGTCTCATCCTCTAAGTCGGGTGTGGGTGAGACTCTGGGTAAGATCCATTTGGGGGCAAAATCCCTGTCCCCCTGTGGACGGGAAACTGGAAGGACACATTCCCTGCCTCCAGAATACAGTCGGGGGACAGACGTGGGGCAGACGTTCCTATTCCAAAAGACGGGTGTTGGGAAGGATGAAGGGTCACTGGTCCCAAACAGGTTCTAAACCCAGCGGGTTTAAAACCCGGCCCTCGGCCCGGTAACACGTGTGCTCCTCATAGCGACTCAGGGAAGTTACCACGCCCACCCGGTGACCGTTTAGAAACAGGCTGAGTGACTCGCCCATGGTTACATGGCACACTGGCTCTAGGATCCCCACCGTAGTCCCCAAGTTACAGGCAAGGTTCCGCTGGTATATTCCTAATTTTAAAACAAGGGACCCGGGGGGCGCCTGGGTGGCGCAGTCGGTTAAGCGTCCGACTTCAGCCAGGTCACGATCTCGCGGTCCGTGAGTTCGAGCCCCGCGTCGGGCTCTGGGCTGATGGCTCAGAGCCTGGAGCCTGTTTCCGATTCTGTGTCTCCCTCTCTCTCTGCCCCTCCCCCGTTCATGCTGTGTCTCTCTCTGTCCCAAAAATAAATAAACGTTGAAAAAAAAAAAAACAAGGGACCCGGGGCTCAGAGAGGTTAATCAAACCCCAGAAGGTCACACAGCGAGCGAGTGGCTTTGCCGAGACTCAAACCCAGCTCACTCTGGCCCACTCTCGTGACTGAGAAGGGAGAAACCCGGCTGGGCCTGCCCTTCCGCCTCCTAAAAACACTGGACTTTTGCAAGGTAAAATGCAGAACTAAAACGAAGAAGGGTTAGGTGGATGGACGTTTCCAGATCGGGCCTGGGTTGTGGTGCCTGCGATTGCTCCTGATCTCCCAGCTGCTCAACGAACGGTGTGATGATCTAAGTGCTGTCTCTTGCTCACTTCCGGTATCCTGAGCAAGCGTGTGGTGGGGACAGCCTGAGAAAACCGTTTTCTATTACGACTCGGCTTCTCCAGGACTCAGTTTCCGCATCTGTATAATGGGAGGCGTCATGACCCCAGCCTCCTAAGATTGTTTGAGAAGTTAATGAGCTGACGGAGCCAGGGGCTGGCTCACGCCATTGGCCATGAGGGCGAGTGCCAAGGATGCCCCCGCATCCGTCAGCGCTGGGCTAAGCCTTCGGGGAGATCTCAGACTGCTTAGAGAAGCGGGGTGTCGGGTAGGGGTTTAGCAGTATGGGCACCAGAGCCCTGTCGTCTGGGCTCCAAGCTGCCTCTGCCACCAACTGGCTGTGGCTGTGTGGCCTCGGGCCAAGGCCCTTCCTGTTTCCGAGCCTCGGTTTCCTCATCTGTAAAATGGGACTAACAATACTACCCACTTCCCACAGCGATTCTGAGAATCACAGGGGCTGCTTTGTGGAGTCTGCTACACGGGTGAGCTATTATGAGGAGCAGTGGAGGATACAGGAAGCAGAATTGGGGCAGCCTTTCAGGAGCCCCAGAGAGAGAAGTTCTGGATCGTAGAACCCTCTGGAGGGAGAAGTCATTGAGATTATAAACAACAGATGTCCTGGGGTTTCCAGGAAACGGACTTTACCGGGGCCGGCACACAGGGACTGGGGAAGGATGAGGCCCCTCGTCCGAAGACCGAGGGTCCAGGGGGGCGTGTGAGAGTGAACAGAGCAGACTGGGGTCCGGGTGCACTTGGCTCAGGCGGGCAGAGCTGGGGCCAGCCGAGGAGGCACCAGACAGGCCCTAGACCCCAGCCGCCCTCCCTGGGGCCACGGCTCCTGGGGGGGGGGGTGTCTGGCAAGCTAGGGGTGAGTGTGCAGATGGGAGGAGGCAGGGGTCGATGGGCGGTCTGGGCCTGTGGGATTTCTGGGCCGCAGTGTCCTCATCTGAGAAATGGGGGCATTGGTTGACCATTCGACGAGAAGCGGCCAAGCGTGTGCCGGGTGCCAGGCCCTGTTCTGACGCTGGATGCACAGCTGTGAACAAGAGAGACAAAAATAAACCACTTGCCTCGCAGAGCTGATGTCCCACAGGGCACCGAGGTGGAAAATCAGCCGGGACCCTTCACATTTCTGTCTCCTCCCCCCGTGCCCCCGAACGCTCAGGCTCTTTTCTTCTCATGTCCATCTACATAGTGTTAATTATTTGAGCAACTGAGGCACCAGACTCCTACCCACCGCGTCTCCCTCCCTCTCCACCTCCAGCCACACCAGCCTCCTGAAGCTCAACAAGCCTGTCCCCACTTCTGGACCCTTGCACTGGCTGGGTTCCCTCTGCCTGGGATGCCCTTTGCCCGTCACACCTGTATCCCCGTGAAAAATTACCCAGTTCACTTACCAGCTGTGTGGCCTTGGGCAACAGACTTAACCTCTCTGGGCTACAATGTTCTCATCTGTAAAACGGTGCCAGTCATTATGCCTCGCGGGGCTGAGGACACGGGTGGTTAGAAGTCAAGTGCTTAGAACGGCACCTGCGAGCTTGTGTTACTGAGGCGTTTACTGTAACTACTTTTGTTATTTTTTATGTTGTTTACTTGCCTGTATTGTGTGCTCCCCCAAACTGGAATTTTGGGAGGGGACGTAAATACTGCAGGCAGGCATGTAAAGCCACGAGGCAATTGTACCCCTAGAGGGATGGTGTCCCCGTGTCTCCTTTAGCCAGAAAACACCGTGCGCCCCAGTCCTGCCCAGGAGCTAATGGGGGGCCTGTAGGCTGAATGGAGGCTCTGGCACAAAGTTGGGGCGGGGTCCAGAACACGCGTTCTATTTCTCTAACTCCGTTACGGGTCCTTTCTCGTTGGCCTGCCTTCTACAGAGAGAACCAGGGCTCCGGGGTCCCCGTGTCGGGCCCCAACCTGTCGACCACCCGGCCAATCCAGCAGGACTTGGGCCGCCAGGACCCGCCGCTGGCCGAGGACATTGACAACATGAGGAACAACAAGCTGGCCACCGCGGGGTCGGCTGGCGCCCACGACAGCCTCGGCCGCCCCGGCCTGCCCCAGAGCCCCTCCAGGACCGGAAACAGCACCGACCCCGGCCCCGCGCCAGCACCGCCCGCCGTGGCCGCGAACCCCCAGAACGTCGCCGGGCGCCGGGCGCCCAACAACCCGGGGGACCCGTCCGACCCCGGCCCCCCCAAGACCCCCGAGAACAGCCTTATCGTCACCAACCCCAGCAGCACACAGACCAACTCAGCAAAGACTGCCAGGAAACCCGACCACACCACGGTGGACATCCCCCCGGCCTGCCCGCCCCCCCTCAACCACACCGTCGTCCAAGGTGAGACCCCCGCCCCCCTCGCCTCCACACATCACCCGGCGGGGCACCCGGGGTCCCCGGAGCGGCCGCCTCGGGCCCAGTCCGCGGAGGCTTGGCTGGGGGACCCTGGACAGTTGAGCCTACCTCTCTGCCCTCGGTTTCTTCCTCTCAGAATGGGCATAGACGTGGGTCCCGCCCCCACGGGACTGCCGGGAGGGTTAATATCTGTGCAACTCGGTAGGGTTTAGCGATATTGCCTGCATCCCAAATTCCCAGAGGGGAGCCGGGAAGCCACCATGGATCCTTCTGATGGAAATTGAGGGGGCCTCCCATGATTCCCTAGAGCAGCGCTGTCCAAAAGAAATGCGACACAGACCACGTGTGCAGTGTGAAGCGTTCTAGGAGCCATATGGAAAGAAAGAAGGGAGAGAAGGAGGGAGGAAGGAGTGATGTAAAAAAGAAAAAAGAAAAAGGTGAAATGAACTCTAATAATAAGTTGCGTTTAACCCAGAGTGTCATTTATTTGTCCAAAATGCCACCATTTCAACATATGATCAGTATGTTTCACGTGATTAATAGTCTATTTTACGTTCTTATTCTTGTACTCTGTCTTAGAAATTCAGTGTGTTTTACACTTACAGCCTTTCGTGGTTTGGACTAGCCACTGTTGCACGGCTCAGGCCTAGACCCTTGAGAGACTGGCAGTTTTTGACCCCCAGACCCCCCACCATGTGAGATTGGGGTCAGAGGAGCACTAAGAACTTAGAAACGACCCACCGAGCTTGTTATTTCTGAACTAGATGTAACTAGATGGTTCCTCTTACTTGTCAGTTCTGTGTAGGAGATTTCCATGAGTCTGCTTAATAAACGCCCACCACAGTCCCACAGGGTGACTCTGGTCACTATGCCCATTTTACAGATGGAAATACTGAGGCTCAGGGACACTCCGCCTGCCCACAGACTCCTAGCAAGGTTAGGCTGCAGAATCAACGCTCAGGAGGGTAGTGACGCTTCCCATCAAGAGAGAGGTGTTAATGGGGGCAAACCCTGCAGTTTGACGAAGAGAGAGCTCAGTATTACCATCTGTAAAGTGGGGCTATTGGGGCTCATGTTACCTGCCTCCAAATGAAGTCCGGTGGGATGGGGGCAGGTTTGTGTTAATATCCTGTGAGGGTCCCACCAGACTCAAGGTTGTCTATCGAGTGGTCGAGTGCAGGGACCACTCTGGGACCAGGTTCAAATCCGTGTGACCTTAGGCAAGTCACTTCACCTCTCTGTGCCGCAGCTGCATCATCTGTAAAACGGAGCTTTTCAAGTACAAACCTCGTAGGGTCACGTGAGGATTCAACGACATACCGTGGTGCCTGGCACATAGTAGGCACGTTATAAATGTCAGCCGCTTATTGCCTGCCCTGGGGAGCGGACAGGAGCCCAGAGGCTTGTGGGAAATCACGGAGGGAGCCCTGTGTTGGTTCTTGTCCCCACAGTGAACAAAAACGCCAACCCAGACCCACTGCCAAAAAAGGAGGAAGAGAAGAAGGAGGAGGAGGAAGACGACCCTGGGGAAGACGGCCCCAAGCCCATGCCCCCCTACAGCTCTATGTTTATCCTCTCTACAACCAACCCGTGAGTATGGCCTGTGGCCAGGGCAGGGGGCCCGGGGCTCCCACTGGGGCACTCGAAGTCAAGCCAGAGGGCAGGCCCAGATGGAGGGTAATGGGGAGAGTTGCTTCCCAGATCACGATTAGTCCCATAGCGGGTGTTTGAGCAGATGAGAAACGGATGCCCTCTTCCTAAGTCCTGTAAGAAAGAAATTTCTCATAAAGTACTGATTGGGGGGGGGCGGGAAGACCCCTTCCTGCCATCAGCTAGAAATCCTTGTCGTAAATATTCAACTCTACACGGTCTGTAATGTGAGAGGCACCCCTAAGACACGGCTGCCTTGTGCAGTGCGCAACCTGTACCGTCATACCTGGCGGCCCTGGTCCCTGAGCTCTGGCTCCTAACCTCTGCTCCACAAGGATTTGGATTCTAGGCAGATGGTCTCTGAGTTCCATAGCCCTTTGTCTTGGGCATCCTTGAGGAGGAAAGATTATTTAGGGGAGAGACTTCTCACATGCGTGTCACGGTGGTTAATGGAGGGTTGTGTTTTTCCGAAGGCTATTTCTTGAAACCCTGGTCCCTCAAAATGCTTCCTGACCAAGAAAACTCACGTCACATAAATTGGGCGGTAACTGCTTTCTGTAACCTGCCTCTTGAGACTCTTGAGTCTCACTCTGCGTGCTTCCTTTTTTATTTGGTTGAAACTATCTATTTTGTTAGGGAAACACTTACGTGGCACTTAGTGCCAGGCACGGTTGTGAGTGCTTTACAAACTGGAAAAAAAAAAAAAATTCTCATAATAACCCTATGGGATTGGTACTATGTGTATGCCCATTTAACAGATGAAGAAACTGAGGCCCAGAGAGGTGAAGTCACCTGTCCGAGTTCATACAGCAAGCAAGTGGGAGAGCCCAAACAGACTGACGCCAGCATCCCTGTTCTTAACCACTCAGCCCTGCTGCCCTTCACACAACTTTGTGACATATTTATTAATATTATTAGCTCCACTTAAGAGGTTAAGTACTTAAGTGTTATCCTAGTACGCCATCAAAGGCTCTCATAAGGCCCGCAATTAATCATTTCAGTAACTGATTTTCTGGAGCCCTTACTATGTGCCAGGCATATATTAACTCTTCGGAGCCTCACATTCTTGTAAGGTAGGCACCATCATTACGGCCATTTCACAGATAGGGCACTGAGGCACAGGGGATAAGTAACTTGCCTAAGGTCACTCAATTAATTAAAGAAAGAAAGAAAGAGAGAGAGAGAGAGAGAGAGAGAGAGAAAGAAAGAAAGAAAGAAAGAAAGAAAGAAAGAAAGAAATCTGTTTAACCCAGAATTTCCCAATTTTGTTTGACCATAGGGTATTTTATGCCTGTGACTATCTTCCCTGGCCGAGGGCCCCCCTGCCACCTTCTTGGGGCTCCATGAACCCCCGAGAGGGCCCCCAGGGGGAAGATCTTGACACTGGGTGGGGTATAGAACCTTGGGAGTCAGGGAGCTCAGGTGGTGGCAGGTGACAGAAGGAGATTACAGGAGGAAAGGGCTTGGGAGCCCACAGTCTGAGTGGACCCCTGCATACCCACCTGTCCCCACAGCCTTCGCCGCCTGTGCCACTACATCCTGAACCTGCGCTACTTTGAGATGTGCATCCTCATGGTCATTGCCATGAGCAGCATCGCCCTGGCGGCTGAGGATCCCGTGCAGCCCAACGCACCGCGAAACAACGTGAGTCCCGCTCCGCGGGCGCCCTCCTGGCCGGGCCGCTCTGCTACGGGCCACCTTCCCCTGCGTCCTCAACGCTGCCAGCCAGGCTGGAAGGAATGTCAGGGGTACCCCTGGGCACAGCCCTGGGCTCACCACCGCTTCCGGTGGGGCGGGGAAGCCCTGATTGGTCGCGTATGCTCTTGGGGGCGGGACGTCCCTCGAGGGAGTGGTGACTGTGCACCTGGTGGGGGAAAGGGGGCCGAGGGCAGGAGGGGCCGGAAGTTGCTGAAATCCCGGGCAGGGGGAGCGAGGCTGGCGTTAGGTGGGGGTGGCACCCTCTGCCTGGAACGTAGGGGTGCCCCACAGGTATCCCCTCAGCCGCCGGGCCTCACCCAACAGACTTCTTGGCTTTGATCTTGGCTTTGACACGAGTTTTGAAAGAAAGGACGCTGCTTATTTTTAATGCTTGTTTATTTTTAAGGGGAGAGAGAGAGAGAGCCAGTGGGGGAGGGACAGAGGGAGAGGGAGACACAGACCTCGAAGCCGGCTCCGGGCTCTGAGCCATCAGCACAGAGCCCGACGAGGGGCTGGAACCCAGGAACCGTGAGATCATGACGTGAGCCGGAGTCGGACGCTTAGCCGACTGAGCCACCCAGGAGCCGTGAAAGAAAGAACTCGTTTGATGCAGAAACACGGACTACACTTTCAGCTGTTTGGAGAGCTACAAGGCTCTCCTTTTAGGGGCGCAGGGTCTGCTAACGGTTCCTGATAACTGAGTGGTGGTTGTGTTCAGAGCACAAGCCCCGGCACTTGGCATGTAAGCTCTCCCAGGTATCCCCATTGGACAGATGGTGAAACTGAGGCTCGGGCAGGTTCAGTGACCTGGCCGAGATCACACGGCAGAATCCCAATGCTGCCTCCCCTGTCGATCCTTCTGCTTCCCTCAACCGTGTCCGTTTTTTGAGCACCTACTGTGTACATGGCTCCCCTTAAGTCCCGCCCAGCAAGAATGGGCGCGTGCCTGTGGTTGAGAGGGGAAAGTGAGGCACTGAGAAGTGAGGGCCTGGCAGATTCCACACCGGTGGCAGAACCTCCTTCCCCAGCTCCTTCCTGCCCACCCCCACCCCCCCATCGCTGCCCCCCTGCCCGGAGCCAGGGGCACATTTTCCGCTGGGAGCCAGGCCCTGCCGCCCTCGCTAAGTAGGTTAGGAGCCTGGTGAGGCTGGCAAGCCCCATAAATCAAGCCTGCCCGACAGCAGCTTACCTTGCACTTTCCCTTCCTTTGCAGGCCTGGCAGGGCCCCTGGGGACCCGAGGGGGGAGATGGAAGGAAATAATTAGAACACGGCTCCCGGAAGAAGCGAGCACCAGGGCAGGGCTGAGGCCGCGCTCTCTTCTCTACGGCCAGCTCTCCCCACCCCCGGGGACTGCAGGGAGCCAGGCCCGGGAGGGGGTGTCCCAGGAGCGGTCAGCAACCCCCCTGCAGACTCTAGGAGGTCAGAGAAGGCTCTGTCACTGGCGGGGGTACCGCTGCGGTTCCTGGACCTGGGGGAGCCCGGCGGGGCTCGGACCAGCCCCACGGGGCGTGTGCAAAGCCTTATCCCGGCCCCTGCCTGCTGCATCTTGCAATTGAAACTTCTCTCCTCGAAGCCCTCCCCTCTTCAAGGGCACTGTGGCCCCACACGGCCAGCTGATGCCCGGGGACCCCCCCCCGCCACGGGGCAGGAAGTGAAACAAAACCACCCCCCACACCGGGCACATCTCCTCAGTGCCCCCTTTCCCTCCCTCTGAAGTCAGGGTTCACATCCCGGGACGTCTGGAGACACATTTGGGTTGTCACGACTTGGGGTGGGCAGCGGGGCACTACTGGCATCCAGAGGGGCGCTCGGCCCCCTCAGGGGCACAGGGCAGCCCCCGCGAGGGGAATGCGCCAGCCCCAAGGGTCCACGCTGGATAACCCAACCCTAGCGGTAACCAGAAGGGACCTCCCTTCTGGAAGGAGCTTAGCTACTCTAGTTTTGCCACCGGCTTGGGCACCCTTAGGCGCTAGAGTTGGGTGTTGTTGCTCCTTTCTGACACGAAAACAGATGGAATAATTCTGTGCCTCTCTTCTGTCACCCAACCTCGTGCACCCCCCCGCTCCCCAGGCTTGTCAACCCTGGGGCCTGGAGACTCCTTTGGCCGACCTGGTGGGTATGACGCAGAGGCTCTCTGGGACTTTGATCTGCGTTTCCCTGGGATAAATGAGCCCGAGCACCGGCTTGGAGTAAACCGAGCCACAGGAAATTGTCATTTGCATAGGGCGAAGCATCGGCACATCCGAGAGAGTCAAACCTGATTTATTGGTCTCTCGGTTTCCTTGATTTCCTCTTGTCCGACTTAATTCGGTTCTCCAGAATTTTTTTTTTTTTTTGATAAGATTTTATTTTTGAGTAACCTCCACACGCAGCGTGGGAGCTCGAACTCACAGCCCCTCAGTTTTCCAGAAGTTGATTCCCCTGACCTCCTGCTCCTCCCCCACTCCCCTCATTCCTTTTTTCCTCTCTGCTTTTCTTTTCTTGTTTTAATTTTTTTAATGTTTATTTATTTTAAAAAAAAATTTTTTTAACGTTTATTTATTTTTGAGACAGAGAGAGACAGAGCATGAACGGGGGAGGGTCAGAGAGAGAGGGAGACACAGAATCCGAAGCCGGCTCCGGGCTCTGAGCTGTCAGCACAGGGGCCCGACGCGGGGCTCAAACTCACAGAGCGCGAGACTGTGACCTGAGCCGAAGTCAGCCGCTCAACCGACTGAGCCACCCAGGCGCCCCTAATGTTTATTTATTTTTGAAGGAGAGAGAGACAGGACACGAGCGGGGGAGGGACAGAGAGAGAGGGAGACACAGGCTCCGAAGCAGGCTCCGGGCTCCAAGCTGTCAGCACAGAGCCTGACCTAGGGCTCGAACTCACGAACCGTGAGATGGTGACCTGAGCCGAAGTTGGACGCTTAACTGACTGAGCCACCCAGGCACCCCCTCTCTGCTTTCCATTCATTGCTTTATTTAGCAATTAATGAGCAAATAGTATGTGCCACGCACAGAGCTAAAGGTCAAGGATTGACAGGGTAGGAGATGGTCCCTGCCTTCCCAGAGCTCACAGAGCGCCAGGCCTCTGGCCCTGCTGAGCCCTCCGCCCGGTGCACCTGAACTGCTCTCTCTGCACCCAGATCCTTCCAGCCCCTTGCACCTGCCACCCCCCCTCCCCCCACTCAGGGAGCCAGCCATCCTGGCCACTCTGGGCCCTGATGGCCCTTCAAGCCCCACGCTTAACGGGAACGTGAGGTGTGACCACACAGATCCCCAGGACCCTTCCAGCTACTCATGCATTCATTCCGCAAACATTTCTTGAGTGCCAACTGTATGCTTGAGCCTGTGTCATGAGCTGGAGACACTACAGGCATAGCCAAACGTCCCTGGCCGTGTGGGGCTGGCCTCAGGTCAGGAACGTGGACGATGAGGTTACTGATGACTATAACAAATTACAACAAATCGTTCGCAGGGATGGGTGGTTGGTCTGGTGAGGAAAATTGCGAGCGCCAGGAAGAAGCCATAAAGAGGGAATCAGGCAGGACATGGGGAAGAACATTCCAGGCAGAGGTAACCACCTGTACAAAGGCCCTGCGGTGAAGACGCCCAGAGTGACGGGTGTAGAGTGAACAAGGGACAGTGAGTGGAGGTGAAGGCATAGAGGTGACCAGGCAGATCGTTCGGGGCCTCGGGGGCCATCAGGAGGACTTTGGCTCTTCCCTCAAGTGAGATCGGAGCCGTAGAGGATTCTAGGGCAGAGAAGGACCCTAACCGGACTCCGGTGCTCACGGGCGCCCTCTGGTGGTGGTGCTCAGTGAATATCAGCCCTTCCAACGTGCACTTGCTGTGTCAGCATAACCACATCCTCCTGCCAAGGCCACACCAGAGCCGTGCTATGGCATGGCCTGGAGAGGGGCCAGGCTGCAGGCCGTCGCTCAGCCAGGTGGAGACCACCCAGCCCTGGCCCCGCACGAGGGAGTGGGGGGAGGGAGGGGTGCGGGGAGAATCCCCCCACCATGGTGAAGATGTGGCCGCAGATCTGCTGGGGGAGACCACGGTGGTGAGTTTGACCCCCCCCCCCCCCAGTGTCTGGCTTAGAAGGCCGGTCATGTTTAGGACTTCTCACCTAGGAGACCCAGCAGGTCAAGGGCGTGGGGAGGTCAGACCGGTCGCCAGCAGGGTTACAGTCCTCCCTGAACGTCCCTAAGATCACCTTTCCTTTATATTGAGCTTTGGGCAAATTAAAAAAAAAAAAAAAAGGCGCCCTTCCCTTGGGTAAGCAAACCACCCTGAGTGGTTTTGCTAGGACTTTTCTGCCATCTGCTGGACAGTTTCATACACAACGTACTAATCTGCACTATGAGACGGGGTGGGAGGGGCCGTTGTACAGTGCCCACCCTGCCCAACTGTATGTGGCAGCCGTGTTTCCCCCTCTGCTTGGAGAGTCTGTTCCTTGGGGACTTTGCTGGAGGCCACACACTCCAGTGGGCCTTTACTAGGTTCCTGGGGACTCTGCTGGAGCAAGCCAGTGATCTGCTGCCCCTTTGCTTTGATCCCCTACAGGTGCTACGGTATTTTGACTACGTTTTTACAGGCGTCTTTACCTTTGAGATGGTGATCAAGGTGAGTGCTGAGAGAGCCAAGATCCAAGGGGAACTTCACTCTCAAGAATGCCACCCTGGCTGGCGCAGGTGGCTTCCCCGGGGGGATTAGAAACGCTTGGTGTGTTGGAGCAGCGGTGAGAACTGGAAGGAGTGAGTGAGGAGAGTGGAGAACCCAGGGTGGAGAGATGAGAGCAGGGAGGTGACAGGGACAGATCCGGCGGGGCCTTGTGGGCCACGGGGAGAACTTTGACCTTTACCCCAAGTGAGGTGGGAGCCATGGAGGGCTCTGGGCAGAGGAGGAACTTGGCTCCTGCCCATGCCAGGGGCACCCTCTGGCCTCGCTGGGGAGGATGCGCTTGAGGGAGGGGCGGGGCGGGTGGGAGCTGAGCTAGGAGCAGGCGATTGTACTGGGCCGGGCAGAGGGTGGTGGGGGGCAGGCCAGGGTGGTGGAGAAGGTGGGCAGGTTCTTGGCAGGCTTCCTGGTGAATTCCACGTGGGGGAACGAGACAAAGAGGAGTGAAGGGGGGCATCGAGGTTTGGACCTGAGAACCAGCAGGCTAGAACTGCCCTTCGTGAGATGGGGAGGTCCACTGGGCTCCCCTCCGCCTGTCCCCTCCTGGTGCCCTTCCCCCCAGAGACTGGAAGGGTGGGGACTGCTCCCCCAAGTGGGACGAGGGACCCGAGCACCGTCTCTTCTCACCCCTAGATGATCGACCTGGGGCTCGTCCTGCACCAGGGTGCCTACTTCCGCGACCTCTGGAACATTCTCGACTTCATAGTGGTCAGTGGGGCCCTGGTGGCCTTTGCCTTCACGTAAGTCTCCTCCTGAGGTTTCCACTTGCCTCTCTGCGCCCCGCCCCCGGCCGGGGGCTGCCTGTTGGACCAGGGAACGTATTCTCAGGGCGTAGAGA